AGGGTGCTCCTGGGCTGCCCTGTGTGTGGGTCAGAATGGGGACGGTCCCCATCCTTGCCCAGGGTGCTCCTGGGCTGCCCTGTGTGTGGGTGAGTTGGGACAGTCCCTGTCCCTGCCCAGGGTGCTCCTGGGGTGCCCTGTGTGTGGGTCAGAATGGGGACGGTCCCCATCCTTGCCCAGGGTGCTCCTGGGCTGCCCTGTGTGTGGGTCAGAGTGGGGACGGTCCCCATCCCTGCCCAGGGTGCTCCTGGGCTGCCCTGTGTGTGGGTCAGAGTGGGGACGGTCCCTGTCCCTGCCCAGGGTGCTCCTGGGCTGCCCTGTGTGTGGGTGAGTGGGGACGGTCCCTGTCCCTGCCCAGGGTGCTCCTGGGCTGCCCTGTGTGTGGGTGAGTTGGGACAGTCCCTGTCCCTGCCCAGGGTGCTCCTGGGGTGCCCTGTGTGTGGGTCTGAGTGGGGATGGCCCCTGTCCCTGCCTAGGGTGCTCCTGGGCTGCCCTGTGTGTGGGTCAGAGTGGGGACGGTCCCCATCCCTGCCCAGGGTGCTCCTGGGCTGCCCTGTGTGTGGGTCAGAGTGGGGACGGTCCCTGTCCCTGCCCAGGGTGCTCCTGGGGTGCCCTGTGTGTGGGTGAGTGGGGATGGTCCCTGTCCCTGCCCAGGGTGCTCCTGGGGTGCCCTGTGTGTGGGTGAGTTGGGACAGTCCCTGTCCCTGCCCAGGGTGCTCCTGGGCTGCCCTGTGTGTGGGTGAGTTGGGACAGTCCCTGTCCCTGCCCAGGGTGCTCCTGGGCTGCCCTGTGTGTGGGTCTGAGTGGGGTGTGGCAGCCATGGGGAAGCTGAGGGTGGGAAAGGAGATGGAGCCCCAGGCTGGGGTGTCTGGCTTGTGAGGGGACCTTGACTGTGCAGTGCAGGGTGGCCCGGTCGCCTCTCCCAGGCCCAGGCAGTGGCCATCACAGCCGCTGAGAGACGTGTGGCTTGCAGGTGGGTGAACCAGGGATGCTGTTGGTGGTTACAGGCGATCCCTGGGCTGTGTATACTGTGTGGCCCCGAGTTCTGATCCCAGAGAGGGCTGAGCCCTGGGATGGGTTGCTTTTGTCGGCCTCCAGCACCACAGGTGCCTGCACGTGCCGGGGACACGCCGCCTACTCGGATGCTCCAGCACTCTCACTCTGCTCCCCCGTGGCGTCCCCATTCACGACACGAGGACCCAAAGCTACAAGGACAGGCAGTGTCAGTCCTGCCGAGAGGTCTTGGTGAGTGTTGGTGAGGGAGGCCGTCTTGAGACCTCCGACCTCATGTGTGAGACCCCTACACAGTGAGAACAGACGGCGCCAATCCCCTGCGACTTCCTCGCACGGGTAGCTCAGTCGGTCCTGTAACTGGTGCTGTCCCTGTGCTTCTGCTCACAGGTCAGTGAGCCCCGGGATGAGACAGACGTGTTCTCACGGGTCAGTGAGCCCCGGGATGAGACAGACGTGTTCTCACGGGTCAGTGAGCCCCGGGATGAGACAGACGTGTTCTCACAGGTCAGCGAGCCCCGGGATGAGACAGACGTGTTCTCACGGGTCAGTGAGCCCCGGGATGAGACAGACGTGTTCTCACGGGTCAGCGAGCCCCGGGATGAGACAGACGTGTTCTCACGGGTCAGCGAGCCCCGGGATGAGACAGACGTGTTCTCACGGGTCAGTGAGCCCCGGGATGAGACAGACGTGTTCTCACGGGTCAGCGAGCCCCGGGATGAGACAGACGTGTTCTCACGGGTCAGCGAGCCCCGGGATGAGACAGACGTGTTCTCACGGGTCAGCGAGCCCCGGGATCAGACAGACGTGTTCTCACGGGTCAGCGAGCCCCAGGATGAGACAGATGTGTTCTCACGGGTCAGTGAGCCCCGGGATGAGACAGACGTGTTCTCACGGGTCAGTGAGCCCAGTGATGAGAAAGATTTGTTCTCCCAGGTCAGCGAGCCCCGGGATGA